AGATGCTGGTGAAATTAATTTCACCAATTTCACCAATTCACCATCAATTTCACCAATAGTGGTGAAATTATTTCACCGTATTTCACCAGCATCTATAATTTTTTGATCGTCGCTCTTAGCCAGATTTAGATCAGGAACGTTCGCTTTGTCAAAAATCGCTTGTTCTTAAAAAGCAGCATAAGAAACTACTTTTAGTGCTCTAACAAAAAGTTTTCCTTGAGCGATTATTCTATTAAAGTTTCTATAACCTTAACTCTAGCATACGGGCTTTAAAGAATTTTTCGATCTGCACTTCTAATAATATAATGTCACGTTGCGAGTTATGTAATTATGCCGCGACTCAACCGAGGTAGATCTTTTTTTTCATATAATTATATAGAAAAAAAATTACTGCAACTCAACCGCCGCTACATCGCACCTTCAACGTACGTACCTATATTGCATCTTAGTTATGAGGATATAAAAGGAAAATTGCATATCAGGATATTGCAAGGTTGTTGGACGATATAATGATGATATTAATCAGCTTCGAAATAATTCCGCCAAAATACGAAGTCTCTGAGCAATTTGGATTTCTTTCCAGATCTCATGGCAAGACTTCTCCAACGCTTTCCTTAATAGCCATTTGTAGAGAGGTAAATGGGCTGATCTATTGAACGTTCTTTGATCCGGCACCAGAAAAGTATTATATATTTTTTATTTATTTATTTTGTTTATCTTCTTTCCGGGCAAAGGATCAGGCGACGCAAGACTCATTTCAGGTTATTACCGGGTACCTTCCAGCAATTACTGCTGAGGAGTCTTAGTTTAGGTAGGTGGAAGCAGGGTTGCCAATGGAGCTGCGAATGGAACCAATGAAGCTCTGAATAGAGCCAATGGATACTAGTTTTTTGAGTTCCATTCACGTAACCATTTAACTCCATTTAACTCCATTTGCTCCATTGCCAACTCTGAGTAGGAATACTTTGACTTTTTTTTTTAATTTTCCTGGACTTATTTTAACCCGTTTCTTTTGGCGCTTCTAGATTTTTAGTATATGAGGTATCCTTTTCTAGCTTTTTTTTTTGTATTGTTTGTTTCCATTTTCTATTTCTTACTAATGCTTACTTATTCTGGCTAGTACTTCACCGGAAATTGAGAATAATCTAAAAACTGGGACTGGCGGCTCTGATTACATCTTGGCGAAGAAGTTCATTCAAGTTGATAGTAGGTCAACAGAATGATGCGTTAATAAGCGACAATCACATCCAACAAAGAATTCGATAGGTAATAATGAAATTACCAATTCGGGAGTTATTAGAAAACATATCTCGATACTGTGTGAAATAACGCTCATGGGCGTTATTTTGAAAATCGGGTCCTTCAAAAAATAACTTATATGGTCTCTAATTGATGCTCGTGGGTAGGGATGTGAAAAGTTCGGACCGGTCCCAAGCAGACTTGGGACCAGTGCCTAAAATCTATTATAAAATTTCTGCGATTTTCGACAAAAATGGGAATGATAATAGATTTTAGGCACTGCTTGGGACTTCGACTCGCATCCTAGTATATTTAAAAAATGCGAATGCATGTAAAGTATGCATTTTTTTATGCTATACTAAATGCACGTGCAGATGCGAGTTGTCTGCTTGGGACCGAGCATTTACAGCTATTTTCATTAAAAATTGACCGAATGATTGTTTGGCCGATTCGAGACTTTGGTAATGAGAGCGATTGCGCAATGTATAATGCAAAAATAATGTATATCGATATCACTATTTTTGCACTTCAGATTATACTAAATTCAGTTGCTATTACTTCAGATAAGTTGGATATTTCAGATTCAATAGCAATTATTTCAGATAAGCTAGGCATTTTTAAAATGTTTACTATAGACGAACGTTTTTACTAATTTTCACCCACCTTTCTGATTGGCTAGGATTATTTTCATGTCACCTTCTTTTTAAAATGTGATATCTTGGTTAGGGTTAGTGACGGGTTAGAAGGTGACATTATACTAAAATTTTGCAAGGAATTTTTTTTGCTAGTGCTTAAAAAGTGATTTCTTAGGCGAGTTTTTATGATAAATGTGACTTTTCGAAAAAGAGCGATTGTTGTTTTGATTGTCACGTTACACCTGATCTTGTGTTCTGATTGGTCAGATCTGCAAAAGATCGGCAAAAGGTGGGTGAAAATTAGTGAATGCTAGACGAACAAGCTAAAGGTTCCTTAGTTGTTAGATTAACCGCCTCAATATTTTTATCTGATTCATACTAATTTGCTTTTTTGGTCTATATTTTAAAATTTATTATAGAAATACTTTTATAATTTTTACTATGATTTTGTTTATAATTTTCAATGCAGTTTCGACAAATATTAATAAAAACTTGGTTGTTGGAATTATAACTTGAGTCCTATTTTCTTTAGTCCGGTTTTAGCGCCTCCTTGTGTAACATATAATTATGCTTAGAAAGAACAACTTCGTCATAAATTTTCATACAAACTAAACAATCAAACGTACATTCAAATGAAAAATTAATTTGGATGTAGTATCGTTCAGAATACGTACAATCGCAAAAAAAAATATATCATTATCGCTAAATTACTAACCGCGCCCAAATCAAAAGTTTATCAAAAACTTATCGAATCGGCTAAATAATCATTCGGTCAATTTTTTTATCAGATGTCCCAATAAAAACAGCTGTAACAAAGACTTGGCTTTTGGAGTCGAGTCAGGACCACTTTATAAATGCACTTTCCCCATAATGATAAATTTTTCATAAATGAATATTCTATAAATGCACTTTTACTCGACTTGTGCAGATGTAACAAAGAATCCGGATATCTGTGAAATTTTAAATAGGAAGATAGCATCTCTAATTTCATGTTTATAAAAAAATCAATAATTTAGATGGATAATTGTAAGCCCGATGACAGGTTTTTCCTAGCAGCACTCATATATATATGTGTACAAAAAATAAAGCATTTTGTGTATTTTTTTACATTTTATTTTACAACTTGATTTCAATTTTTCACTTATATATTCAAGTATGAATAAACGTATTCAAAAAGCTTTAACAGCTAATGAAAAAAAATTAGTTATATCTGTTTATAACTACTTAAAAAATAATAAACAACATATAAAATTCCCACATTCTTTTAATTTACGTAGTGAAGTTGTCAAGGCTACTGGTATTTCCAAATCTACTATTGGAATTACTTTAATCTATTTCTGAATTACCATTAATTCACTTCTTTGTCCAACATGATAAGATATCTTATTTAGTTCGATTTTGTATTTATAATTTAGAACATTGCTTGATTGTTGAAATGGATTACACTAATTTTCAACTTTCAACCTTTAAAAAAAATTCAACCTGAAATTAGAAATAAACTTCGTGAATTGATTTATGAAAGCTTCTTACTGCAAGAATTCTTTGTTTTGAATTAGCTAAATCAAATATTATAATATCAAAATCAAACCTTTATCGATATTTAAAAAAGCTAGGATATCATTATGGTAAAGGTAAACAATATAATATTTTACATGAATCACCCAAAATATTGCATATAGAGCAGTATTTTCGGGATAGAAAGAAAAATTTAATAGGTAACAAATTACCAAACTTACCAGAAATTTTTCTTGATGAATCATATTGACATTTGCATCATACTAAGGAATTAACGGGTCCGTATCATTTCCCTCATTTCCCCGACAACATTCACTTCTCCGACACTTTTATCTTCATTTCCCCGATATTCACTTCCCCGACAAAATTATCTTCCCGATTATACATGTCGGCAAAATTAATATCTAAATCCCAAATCCCGTCCCAAATCCCATTCTAAATCCTAATCACAAATTCCATCTCCCGTTCCAAATCCCATCCCGAATCCCAATCCCAAATCCCATCCCATCCCAAATCCCCAAATTTTGAAAAACTGATACAAATAGAGTATTAGGAAATTCTATAGTTATTACACATCTGTTTAATATAAAACTATCATGTTCATTGAGTGACGAAAAGTATCTAGATATAAATGATAATGAAGTTCAACATAATAAAAATGGATCTCTCCAAAAAATAGGGATAGATATCTTGCACCAAAGGTGGCTTACAAGCACACATGAATATAAAGATTGCATATCTTCATTTAAATTATTTGGAATAATTTCCAATAATTCGGGCATGCCATCAATAAGTATTTTTGATGTCATGAGAAGTTAGGATGTTCAATATCTAATAAAGTTGATTTCGCATATGAATTTTTCATATAAATTTTCGCTGACTTAGGTACACAGTTTTTTTTACCTATTTTATAGACAAAATTGTATCGTATTTTTTTTTTTAAAAAAAAAAAAAAACTATAGCTCTAGACTAGTTTGTATACGTATCGGTATCCAAAAATAAATCAACGAAATTTAATTTATCCCTGAAGAATCTAATCCTGTGATTAGTCCTTAACATCATTTTTCTTTTATAAATCCGTTTGATGCAAGTATTACGTATTATCGAAGCGACTAGTACGATCAACTTCCATCGTTCAATGTGAGCTTGATCGGATTACAACTTTATTTTTAACTTTTAACATAACAATTCTGGATTGGTTATTTATAGAATTTGGTACTTTTTATAGACTTTATGTGGGATAGATTACTTAGAAAAACGAACGTTATATTGTGACGGTATATAAAATTGAGATAGCAACTTATAGATGAGATCCATTATCCATAGCCCCGCCAGGGGTCTAGACACTTTTGCAGTAACGTGACGCGGCGCATAGAAAATGACCAATCGGAATTCGTAAAT